CTTTGTTATTTTTCCTCGACATGACACTATTTCCAGAAACTGTTTGTTTGTACAAGAATTACGCCATCAAAAACTCTTGTTTATAAATCGGTAAACATGATGCGCTTACGCGTTGTGTAAAGCCACAAACCCAAATATGGTAGGACCATGTGCCCCTTGACCCGATTACTCAAAGCTTTCCTCTGCTTTGTTATAAGACATTTATAGAAATCATATAATTTGGGTACCAGTTGAACATGTTACATTATGTCCCAAGTAAGTAAGTTGGGTTCAGCCCTAATAAACGGTCATGGAGTATCTCAACCTTTATCAATTCCATTTTTTCGTACAGATCAGCCTTTTATAGGTTTGTAATCCAATGGCGACAATGACATCGTGTATCTATTAAAGTGGTAAAATTAATCCCCCGGATATTTAGTGCAGGCGCATACCTGTACCCGCATTTTTAATTAACCATGCCTGTGAAACGCTTTATTTTTAAGGTTGGTGGTTAGATCCAGAAGAAGTGGAAGAGTTTATGATAGTTCAAAGCATCAAGTCACGTTTAGTTCAAAAATATAAATAAGATTTCCATTCAATAAAGAGTTATGTACTAAAGAAGCAGAATTCATCGGGCATAAGCTTTTTAAATAGTGAGAGGGTGAGTGAGCGGGGATCACTAACGTTCTATTGTTATTACTGCCTCGTTGCAATTGTTTTAACATAATTTGAATCGCTTAACATAGTTTTCGTTACTTGCAAGAAATATGATTTAATTTATGTTTTGCACACGTATCAAAGACCGATTACAATACATGTAGTTGACTGAAAAATTAAAAGAAAAGCAACAAAAAAAAGTGCTTTAAACTATATATCTAACTATACTTTTAAAAATACCTTTTTGTTAAGTACCTTTTTACTAAGTAATATTTGATCACAATCACCCAACCCTTTAACAATCAAAAAAAATATTTTCTACTCTTCACTTCGGTTTTGTTTTTAAAGCATGGTTTTAAGTTTTTTAATTACAACATTTTATTTTTAATCTGTGTCACTACAAGGCGGAGCATTACTTTGTTTACCAACTTAGATGTATAAAAAATTGTATTAAAATTGCCTATATAACCTTCTTAGATCTATAACCATGAGCATTCTAACATGTTAATTTATTTGATCCTGTTATCTCTAGCGTGAAGAGGTCACTTAAGCACACGTCTACGTAACTAAGTGTGACAAATGGATTACTAGGCCATATAACACGCTAAGTAAATTAGATAGTTCTGTTTATTTTATCTACGGTAGCTTTGAGTTTATTAGCATACGAGTACGGCGATCTGCTTATCTGCCTATGCCTTTATGGCTTACGACTACAGTGCGCCGGGCCACGTTAGGGCTTAAATGTGATTCCTAGGGCCACGTCTATGTATTTCAGGTATGCCTGATTAGGCCATGTTGGTGTCACCAGTGGTGGTGGAACCTAGTTGGGTAAAATTGTAGATAAGTATATCTTTATTATCTTTTAATGTCATAAATATGAATATCACTCACGAAAGCAAATTTATTCTTATGAGCATAACGACTCTATCACAACGACCGTACTCTCAAGTCCATGAAAAATGTCGCGCTAGATTTTGACTAGTGACACCTTGCCCTTACTTTTTTCCCCTCGTCTTATTTTCATTTATTTGAGTAACACAAACAAGTAATTTAATCAGATAAGATTGATATAAAACAAAATGCAGAAAGTTCAGACTGAATTTGCTTGGACAAACTAAATTCGGTTAATGGCTCACGACATCCGTCTTCAACAATGGTACAGAACTTTGTTTTCTGTTTATTGTTAAGAGTTAAGAGCTTAAGGTAAAGCTTTGGAGTTTATCAATGTCTTAAACTTGAGTTGACGTTCGTAATATCAACTTAAAGATATATGAAGAAAATCTAGGATTTAGGAGTAAGAGAAACAGTGTTTGGGATGTATTCGGATAAATTTACAACAAGAAACAAATGTTATTATGTTACTTTTGCTATCCTTATTCGCTAACAAAGCTGAAGATTTTACTTCTTTCGATATTCGACGTTGAAAGCCGAGGAAAAATAATTTTGTAGTATTTTTTGATTTTGTTACAAGCAATCTGTATAAATGCAATACCTAGGCAATATAATATAGGACACATGAAATGGTTCCATATTGTATGTCATATTATTTATTTTCTTATTTGTCTAAGTAAAATTATGAATACGTATGTATGTAAAAGACGAGAGCCAGGAAGGATGATTAGTTAGCTAGGTAAAATATCGAAAGACAAGTCGCACGTCTAAAGCAATATACCTATAATTTAAATTTCTTCAAAATTATTTCCTACTTAGACTTAGCTGTTTAATGAAATTAGGATAAATTTCAAAGTAAACGATTTCTTACTGGATCTCTGCTCCTAGACATAGAAGAGATCCAGAACATCAGCCGCATACCTATAATTATACTTAGCAGTACCGAATCTATTTCTCTCTGTCTTCAAGTTGCTAATGAGTCCATAAATAGTATCGCAGCTATCCTAATGGGAATTTATGTTTAGTTTGACGGACGGTTTTCTGTGGAGAGGGTTAACTCAGTTTATTTTCATACAACAGTCATTCTCGGCCCCCACCTACTTTGAGAGAATAGCACAACATGCGGTTTAGTTCCGACAGACCACCCCACCAAAAACTGCGATGGCGATAGCAGCTCTCGGAGGCATCCATTATCCTAAAAACAGGTTGTTCTCTACTTTTTAGAGAAGCAATTTTAAAATAAACTAGGAACAGTGGAGTGACAACAGGGTCATTATTTTTTTTAAGTACGATATTGAGCTACGAGTATGCTCCAACATAGTGTGCACATGTTTTTCACGCGCTTGTCTGAACATTCATTTGGTGTCCTGTTACATGATTTATTTCTAAAAGAAAAAAAAGGAATTTCATTATTTGCCAAGAGTAATTTAGTGTAAAATTTATTGAATGAAAAAAATGTAGATGGAAAACTTATTGGCTATCTACTACTGATGCAGATGCATGATTAGCCGGGTATTTTGTCTGCTATGACGCTGGTAACAAGCGGATGGGTATGGCTATGAGCATATTATTATCACCCAATATTACTACCCAGCACTACTTAGTCAATATTACTGCATACTAGCAAGGCCAGGTAAGGAGAAAATTGTTCTAAAAATAAATTGCGTCTTCGCAGGGTTCCTATACTGCCTCCCACACATGCCAGTATAGTAATCGTGATCGTCAGTTACCGCCATTATTTACTGTCAGAAAACATATCATCTATGTAAGTGCTTTCCTAAATGAACCAGATGTACAACATAATTATGTAAGTTAGTGTAATTAAGTTATAACTTTAAAAATCATTAATTATAACGAAAATTTGCCGTTATATGGACTCCGTTGATAGTTCTGAAGGTACACATGTAATACACAAGTATATAACGGCCTAGAATATGACATTACACTTAAAAAAATACGGCAATTATGGGTACTTACGATAAGGACTTTCCCAGATATATCTTTAACATAGTGCCATATATGACCGGTAACTCGACAACTGTACCGGGTCGGTTGCTCTAGTGGTTAGTGACCCTGAATGCGAAGCCGGAGGTCGTGGGTTGGATTTATCCCACCCAGGACAAATATTGTGTGATGAGAACAATCATTTCTTCTGTTTCTGGGTGTACTTTCTCTATAATATGTATGTATTTAGAATATGTATGTATATAAGTATGTTTATCAGCAGTCAGGTTACCATAGTACAGCCTCTGCTTAGTTTGGGATCAGATTGCCGTGTGTAATATGCTTGAAATTATTATATTTCATTATTATGGCTTTTCTGTGATCAAAACCTGTCAGATAATCAGATTTAACTTCTACCCAGCGGAATGTGCTCTCAAAATAGATAATATTTAACCTAGGTAGTATTATCCCGTGGTAACAAATAATTATATTATGACGCGAATATTAGAATATCAGATAAACTCTTACAGTCAAAAACTTCGGGCTACCGTGTAAAATAAGTGAATCGATGAACAACCAAGAACAACATTTTTTAAATAAATTCGTGCGTGCTCACGATAACTTATAAGAATTGTTCATTAAGTATAATATCTAATGTATTGTTTTAACATAAATCTTTGGAACTTACCTACCTACATACATTATCTACACGTTGTTATCATTTAGGTGTAAGTTTATCATTCTCTCGTAAGTTTCATAGCAACAATATTCACGAATAACAATAAAATTATTTTTATAAATAAATATACTTAAATTTAGTTAATTGAATACATAATACTTACATAATATAGCTAATTTATTAGCTTCGTTGCTTCCTGCGAAAAATTATCCCATTTTTAATTATCTTAAAAGGTTTTTTAAAAATAAAATACATATAATTTTATAAAGACAGTAAATTGATAGAAAATATTAATAATTAATCACCTTTTTAAGTATAACACAGTAGCCTCAGTTTCACGTACGTTTATGTCTGCTCTGCTCCTTCAGTTAGGTACTTGCGTGAAGTTACGTAGTCTATCTATATATTACTAGCTGACCCGGCAAACGTTGTATTGGGTCACCCTTACCTTTTAGGGGTATGAAAAATAGATGTTGACCGATTCTCAGACCTACCCGATGTGCACACAAAATTTCATGAGAATCGGTCAAGCCGTTTCGGAGGAGTACGGGAACGAACATTGTGACACGAGAATTTTATATATAAGATTATTAAATACGCTATCCGGTATTCATTCAAATTCACGAACTAAATAAGTGCGTTAAAATAAACAAAAAATAACTACATTAAAAATACCTATAGATTTACATTATTCACTTTATTTATTTAGATAGAAGATTTGTATTTATATCTTTATGTAAACGCGATAGAATGTAATTACTACGTATGGTTGTTTTCGAAATATTGATTTTTATTTAACCATTAATAATAGTTAATTAATAATAATAATATATGGGTTTTAGGTACATACCTTCGTCTAAAGTGAATGCTTGTGTAACCACCACCAAGGCGAGCAAACTTAGGCCGCACACGAGCATGGCTGATCCAGCCATGTCTGCTGAAACACCATTAATTTTCGAATATATTTGTGATATGTCATACAATTACAAAAATATTTTTTATATTTTTATTTTGACACAACAAGAAAAAAAATCTTATTTAATATACAATCCATTACAAAAAGGAATCAATTCAAAACTTTTTTGTTAATTACCGCGTTTTCTTGACAGGTTACACAAGTTTCCCGCGTAAAATTTTAACGGGCGCACGAAGAAGTCGAGTGCGCGTGCGCGAGCCGCATACGCTATTTTCAACTGATTCACTTGTCTTGTAGTTGTAATGCAAAGATCTCCAGTAGCCGTGTAAAAGTATCACAGCAGCTTGTACTTATTTAATAATGTTATCTTAAGCTACATTTATAGTTGTACCTACTTATAGCAAAAACACGTACATACTGAGTATAACTTGATTGAGTATTCACTTCTGTACTTCTTTCTGATATTTAGTTTTGTTAGCGGGTCATTGTACGATTTCATCTTATTTATTTATTTTAACGTTACTTCCGACGTGGATCACACACTACTTTTATTATTGACTACCTTTTGCTCGCGACTTCGTCCGCGAATGGGTCATTATTTTTTGATATCGAATATAATTATACTGAGTTCGGAATCAATAAGTTAAAAAAAAATAGTTTCCTGTACAAACTTGTACCCCTTTTTAAGGGTAGTTTCGAAAAATTTGAAACAACATATTTTTTAACTTTTAATAAAGAGTATTTACTGAATTTATAAATGCTACTACTAAAAATAACGACTTTTTTTTGCACTCTCAGTCTTCTTAGGGATGGAATTTTTAAAAAAATCCTTTCTTAGTGCACACCTAAGTCAGTTACGGAACATTTTTGAAAAATTTCATGTTACCAGTGGTTTCAGCTGTGAGTTGATCGATCAGTCATTGAATCAGTCTGCCCGTTTTTGACTGCACGGATGGCGTAGTGGTTTAAGCGGTCGCCACGCCGCTTCCTACTACGCCGAGTGTTGTGGGTTCAAACCCCACATGGGACGACACTTTGTGTGATCCACAAATTGTTGTTCTGAGTCTGGGTGTCCTTTGTGTCCGTTTCATGTATGTTTGTAAAGTCCCCCGCGACACAGGATTTATTCCTAATGCGGGCGTTGTCTTTTTATAAAAAATAAAAAATAAAAAAAAAATAGATATAGATATTAGCCCTTCCAACTAATAAAAATGTTTGTTTTAGCTGAACATCATTACTGCATAAAAACCGGCTGGTTTTTTTAAACCCGAAGGGTTTTTTTTTCGTTTGGTTTAATATTTCATAAAATGACAGCCTAGCCAACATGAATATTTAAAATAAAGAATGTGAAAGTTTTGTTTGTTATGTCTGTTATGAAATTTTTTTAATGTGCCAAAAACTTAATATAATTCTTTTTGAGCATTTCAAAAATATCCCAAAATATGAGGTCCTCAAACTCAAAGCCAGTTCACATATGTAGTGACCATTTGAATTGCCAAGGCATACAAACTGTTACTCGCTAATTGTGGCTTCATCAACAGCCTATAATAGTCCACTGCTGGACATAGGCCTCTCTTTAGAAAGGAGGTTTTGGCCTACTATACCACGCTGGCCAGACGGGTTGGTATAGGGTTTGTTTCAAGTTTTCCTTCTTTTTGCAGTGCTGTTGTCCTGTGCAGTTTGTTCCCTTAGTCAGCTCTTACGACACCCACAGAATGAATAGGGGTGGTGACATTCCGTATTCTTAATCCGTCAACAGACGGATTCGAATTGTGGCTTATAGAAGCTTTAGCTGAATGAGTTGCTTTCTGATAAAGGCGAAACAACAAAAACGATACAATGAACCACCTCGCAATACTTAACAAAAGTCACATTTAAAAGTATTTAAATCACGCACCTAACATAGCGAGGATTCAAATACTATAGATTACTTTAAGTATTCTTTTCTTTTGTTACTTTCTAGAAATAAATGAACATTCCAATATTAATATAGAATTTTTTTAATTCATATCTTTACGTTACATGCTCGATTTGAATAAAATGCTAGTGTAAAACAATTACCGACGATGATCCACCGCCGCAACTACCTTATAATTTGTGTTTAACATGACCCACAACAATCAAAATGAAGATGCATGCAAAAAGAAACAAGATAGGTGGGCAAAAGACTGGATTTAAATCTTTCAGTGGGTTTAAACATGACCATGTGACATTAAATATGATCATGTGACTCAATTTCGTAAATTACTCAAGTGGCTCCCAATTCGACTTCGACGGAATAAAATTATTCTTTCTAAACTTTATAGTATTTTACTTAAAGGAACGTTACGTGTTCCTCCGTAACACATCTGAGATCCTTAAGCTCGTCGGAATCTTTGGAGCTAATGGTACCTAGCCACACTACAATATTCTATGACAAATCTTTCACTGTGCAGGCTGTCAGATTATGGAACGCCTTGCCGGTATCTATAATAGGCCCGAACACAGACGGCATTTAAAAATATTGTCAAAGTTCCTTACTTGCGTTCCCAGCATTAGCCAAGCTCTGTCTAGGCATGGTGTTGATTCCACAATCTCAGGGTGGATCGACAGCATGCTAAGATATAGAGCTATACAATTCACTGTGAGCGAAGTGACTAGAGGAGTGGTGGCTAGAGGCTGCCCCCAGGGCGGTGTACTCTCCCCCCTTCTATGGAACATTGTTGTGGATGAGCTCATCACACAACTTAATGACCAAAGATTCCTCACAATAGGCTATGCAGACGATCTTACTATTCTCATCAGCGGTCCTTTTGAGAGCATTACATGCGATCAAATGAGACTTGCACTGAAGATCGTGGAACAATGGTGCGTAGCACACAACCTGACAGTGAACCCATCCAAACAGAGATGATCATGTTCACAAACAAACGCAGCCTAGGAAATCTCAGACTTCCCAAGCTATTTGGAACACAACTTACTCTTACCAAAGAGGTCAAATACCTAGGAGTAATACTGGACAGTAAACTCCTGTGGAACAAGCACCTCGATGAAAAACTGAATAAAGCCTGCATTATTTTCTGCCAATGCAAGCGGCTACTCGGCAAAAGCTGGGGACTATCACCCAAAATTACTTTATGGCTATACAGAACAGTCATAAGACCAATAATCACTTACGGTGCTGTTGTCTGGTGGCAGAGAACAGAGCTAAGCACTGTCATAAACAAACTGCAGCAATTCCAGCGACTCCCATGCTCCGCGGTCACTGGCTGTATGCGCACAACGCCTACTGCCGCACTGGAGGTGGCTCTTGGTCTGCCACCCCTGGATCTATTCATACAGCAGGAGGCCGCCATGGCGATCATTAGACTCAAACACCTGGGTCTATGGCACAAACGTGGGGGATCGCACTCTAAATTATGGGATCAATTGGTGGAATACGAACCACTGATAGCAGCGCCATGCGATAGAATCCCAAAACACCATATCTTCACAAGAAGATACTACATCCAGATACATGGAAATGACCGAGATCAATCCGGCATTAGCGAAGTCCGAATTTACACGGACGGTTCCAAGACTAGGTCAGGAACTGGAGCCGGAGTTTTCTCGCAAGACCTAAACATAAACATATCACTAGCGTTAGGCCAACACAGTTCCATATTTCAATGTGAATGTGTGGCAATAACTTACGCTGCCACAACGGCCATGTCAAGGGGTATTAAGGACTACAATATCCGAATAATATCCGACAGCATGGCCGTCTTAAAGGCATTGGAGGGCAACACAATGACCTCTGGTATTGTCTTCGAATGCCACCAAGCACTGGAACAGCTCGCTATATTCAATGGGGTAATCCTCCAATGGATTAAAGGGCATAGTAACTCACACGGGAACGATGCCGCAGATGAGTTGGCAAGGAGGGGCTCGGCAACCCCAACCTCTGGCCCAACCCCACTCCTGCCCATATCGTTTAACCAAATACGATGCTGGATCAGGCAACGGACCTGTGAAGCACACAACCGGAGGTGGAAAAACTCACCCGGCTGCAGACAGTCCAAACTGGTGCTGAATCAAGTCACACCACGACTCACCTGCAGACTGATCAGTCTTAGCAGACCGGAAATCAGAACGGTTGTCGGAACTATTACAGGACATCTAGCCCTGAACCGACAACTATTCATAATCAACGCGACGGACAGTCCCCTGTGCAGGGGATGTCTGGAAGCTGAAGAAACGGCCGTCCACGTAGTCCTGGAATGCGAGGGAGTGGCCACACAACGGGCAAGTATCATTCCTGATACAAAGTCGCTCCTAGAAGCCTGTGAACGCCCCAGGAAGCTTCTGCGCTACTGGAAGGAGCTTGGCTGGCTCACCTAGTCAACCAATCCTCGACGCATAAAGGACCACTCTGAGTCTAAATGCGGAAACCGAAGCCCACAACTTACTTGCGTTCGTTCATAGTTCATAGTACCCTTTGCTTCCAATAACTGTACATGACTAAAGTTTACATGGTTATCAATATAAATGGTTAATACTTATATTGTATATTTAATATATATATATGTATGTGTATGTATCATCACCTCAGCCTATGCTTGTCCACTGCTGGACATAGGCCTCTCCCAATCATTTCCAGCGGGGACGCTTAATTGCGGCCTGCATCCAACGGTTTCCGGCAACCTTTACCTTTAATATGTATGTATAATTTGTGTTTATTTATTTTTACACTACGTTAGCTTCAATACACCTAGACTACCCACTGCTTCTTCTTATCTACTGTCGATTTGTCCATCCAAAGGTTGCCTGTAAGAGATTGCTATTATAGCAATAAGGCCGCGCATTGGACATTTCTTTTTTTTTTTTTTTTTAATTGGTCCTATCTTTTTTTTAATGGGACTAATCCCGCCCACATGCCCACCACTGTAACTCCTGTACACCAGGATCCACAGCAGTGACCCACGAACACACCGAGTTATGACACTCGGGAAGTCCCAGGAAGAAATTAAACTGTCTTGGAACCCGCAACGAAATTAATCAGAAGAAAATTGGAGGAGTTGGAAATACAGTAAATCCACTTCCCTCCTTAGCAAAGCGGGATACAAAATGAAATAAAATGGGCATACACCCTTTTAAACAGGGAAGCACCACGGCCACGAAATATTACGGGTCCTACGTGAGCTATATTTGATTTCTATAATATGTATGGCAGAATCGCCTAAACGCACGGAAATTCACCCTAGTTGACACAAGATCCCCATAGTATACCGCCCCAGATGTCACCTGCAAGGTATTCAGCATTATATTACGTTCATTATACCAAAGACTACATTCCCAGAGAATATGATGAGCAGACTGTTCATAGTGAGAGTTAGGTGTTGAGCATTGACACAATGGTGACTCGACTAATTTAAATGAATAAAGCTTGCTCTTAAAGTTACCATGACCCGTAAGAAATTGAGCGACACAGTGATCCACCTCAAGCCATGTCCTCGACAACCGTTCGCGAACAGATGGAAA